ACACAATTGTAAGGGCATTAATGTTTTATCGTATGGGTGGTTTATTGAGGGCATAAGCTATTTAGTCTGTACAGTGGAAGATCTACGTTCGAATCCGCTTCTCTAGCGATCAAGAACGGTCGAACTAAGTGAGGTCACACAGCCGATATGGATTTTCTCTACAGCAGTGACTACTTTACAGACATCATTCTAGGTACTCGTAAACTATAATTAACTTTACCCAAGTATATGTAAAAACTGAGACATTTCCAGATTGCCTTGAAAAGTGAAAGTTATACAGGCACAGATTAACACATCTGGACGCTTGAGAAGCTGGCAAGGAGAATAGCGTCGCTTAGACACTTCAGGCGTTGGTACAAAAGAAGTTCCGTGTATACTGGGGCAAGGAGTAATCGGTTTCCAAGAAACCTCAAATAACTCCCTAAATATATCTCCAAGAGATATACATTTAAAAGTGGAGTTTAGTTAAAGTAACCAGAAAAGGCAGACATAATAATGTTGTCCAATACAGGCCTATATATATAGATATAAGGGACTATATATTTCTGGGCGAGTCCAAGTTTGAATTTTGTGCAGATTACAGGTAAGACAGGTTATCAGTCTTACAGACCGATGCGTAATGGCTATCATTTCACGACAATTGTATTATGATAACATTATATTATTGTCTTTTTTTTTTTAGATGTTTTAGCAAACCCACTTGGAGAGTTGTCTTCCCGCCTAGCAGAATATCATAAAGCTCTATATTTTGCTGAGGAGGAGTTGTCAGAAGACAGAATGAATAAAATTCAGCGTCTGCAGAGAGGTCTGCAGGTGAGGAATGTTTCTTTAACATTTTGAAACAAAAATTGCTTTAAAAAAAACAAATATATATTTCAGGTCACCTGCCATTGTTTCAAACAAGCATTTTGTTGTTGGTACATTCTTACCTATATTATTCATAAGCATTTTATTGTGTGTTTTTTAGAATATGTTTCTTGGTTGTTGTTAATGAGAAATTTGTTGTTGGTATATTTTGGTATATTTTCACTTTAATTTTTCACAGACATTTTAAATTTGTAGGCCATATTCTGCATGGTCAACCTCTGGCTCTGTTACCGCTGTGTCTGTATAACACTGCTCTCTTTGGTGCCCTGTCTGATGCCAGTCTTTTTAACATTCTTTTCACACTTTCAGTCTGTGGAGAGAGTGAGAAACGAGAAAGCCAATAGAAAATTGTATCTTTTTTCTTTGTCAACCATATTTAAGTGGAAGATAATGTTTTCATGTTTTAATTGTGAATGTATTTCAGAGTATAATTAGTCATTACTGAGCTTCGCATATTATTTTTTAAGACCATTCATGAGCTGCAGAAAAGAACTCAGGCTGGATTTCCTGTGAGAGCTGATGAAATCCCACCACCAGTCACTATTCCAGGTGATGATGGTAAGTTACTGTCACTACCGTGACTGTTTGTACCATTTTTAGGGCGGTGTAGACAAGGGGTTGTGAACCTAAGGTTTCAGAGCCACATGGCTAGTGCTGTCGCCACAAACTGTAAGGTTAGGATGTTTAATTTATTTTGCTTTAGATGGAAAAACTCCATCTCCTTACGGGGGATTGAACCCAGGTCTCCTGCATGAGAAACTGATGTTTTAACCGCTCGACCAGCTGCTGCTTGGTAAGTTAGTAACTCAGAGGTATTTAACTGAATGATTGCATGTTACCTCTCCTGAACCAGACTGGATTTATCAGGCAAGAATGAGTTGTTTCACTAAACACATCTGTGGCCGATTTAACCCTCATCGTTGTGCCAGTTTATGCGGCTTTTCGAGGCACCCAGCAAGCAGGTTATCTGGGGAACACTTTGGCTGCTACAATGGGTCAGGCACTAAATACAAGCGACGTCACCAGTGATATGCGTGGCACATTTCACAAAGCTGAATACAGCAAACCTCTAGACCCTGAACCCCTCTCCAGGTTGATGGACATGAGATTTCAATCTGGAGCTGCAGGTAATGAGTATTTCACTAAGGACACAAAACGTTTGATTAACTCTTTTAGGCCCATTAATTTTGACAGGCTTTGCTTTGCCCACATTAATTTCCCTTCACAAAATTTGCAAAGGGGGTGATGTACAAGAAAGGCAATAGAGAATGTGATATACTTCTAATCCCTGTAAAAATATCTATTTTTTTTTAAAGAGAAATGAATGTAAATTTTGAATCTGGTGATAAGTGTATGTGGGAAAGAAGAATTCAGCAGGTGTTAATTTCACAACAACAACATTTTTCAAACAAATTAATCACTTACCATGGTTTTGCAGCCACAAGAGTATTGAAAATCCAAAATTGAGAACAATACTACAAAGTTATGATAAGTTTCTGGGTTAGTTTAGCACTCAGGGACTATTAGTTCTCACAGAGTGATGAGTAAAATTTCAGAGAAAAAAATGACCGAAATATGGGCCATTACTTTGTAAAGTTATATACAGACTGTAACTGCAATGATTTCAATGTATTTTTGCCATAGTATAGTACAGTCTCTTTGTGTGGAGCACTTTCCTTCTCTTACACCATAGATACAGTAGCCCTGAGACATTGTCTGTGTAAACTCAACAGAATGGCTAGATTCCCAACAGCTGCCGCTGGTAAAAATTCACCGTCCCAATCACCTTCCGAAAAATCTAAATTTTCATTATCATTATCAAAATTAAAAACATCTGACTGAAACAATTTCAGAGCTTGGGCCACAGAAAGACGCATTCTGTGACCTGTACTTGTGGTTGGAACATTAGTGTTCATGGCACTCGAAAACAAACTTAGAAAATGCATTGTTGAAAAAAATTTAGCTATGAATCCGATCAATCTATGCATGTGTGGCGTGGGATATAGATGTTGGTAAAAGGAAATCGTTTAGAGTGACTTTCCCTGAATACTTTAAAGGTAGTTCCAATAAGTACAAAACCATGTACGAAGCAGTATGTACGGGACACACGATTGACGATGACATCGTTGTTTGGGCAAAACGGAACTTCTCAATCAATTCTCACACTGTTGCTCGGACCTTAAAGAGTTAATCAACACAGAAGAGGCGTTATCACTCTTTTTCCTGTATTGTGTACAGTCAATTTTTTTGATACAGATTGTCTTCCATGCCATAATGTCAAACTGTTCACCGTCTTCTCTATTGGTATTCCTCTGCCTCTCTTCCCCTCCTCCCACTTCTCAGTTGCCAAAACACACTCTGCTTGTCATGCTCCCAAAGTAAGTAGATTGTTTTTTTCTGATGCGATTAAATAGTTATCTTCAGTATACTTTCTATCTGTCTGGTGCTCTCATCATTCTTCTATAAAAATCACATCTTTGCAGTTTCCACATAAATTTTCACTAATCAGCTAACTGTCCATGATTCACTTCCATGCGTCAGGATTGGGTGTATATAGTTTTTCAGAACTATCTTTGTCAGCTAATTTTACAGAGATTATAGTTTACAGAGACTACAAATGAAAGAAAGTTACTGAAAGAAATACAAAAGAGACAATTGAAATACTTTGGTCACTTTGAAAAGACATAATATGCTTTTAAAATCCATACTGGAGAGAAAGATCAAAGGCAAGAGAGCAAGAGGTGGACAACGATAAAAGTGGGAGGATAACATCAAGAGATGGACGGGAAGCAGTCTAAGAGCGTGTACAACCAGGACAAGAGACAAGGCGTGTTGGAGATCCATTGCAGCCAGCCTTCACTGTGAAGACGGCACCTGATTGACTTATTGATTGGCAGAGATGGAATACGCTTTAAGTTAAAAAAAAAAGTAAAGGACCCTTTCCAGGCCTTTAGACGTATAGGGCATATAGGGCTAGACCTATATTTTTATAGACCAACGGCACAAGATGGGTGATGTGGTCAGCATCACGCCGGCCGCCTCTACTTCCCGGGATTGCACCCGGTACCCACTCAAGGCTGGGTCGACCTGGGAGCCAAGGTCATTTTTGAAGAAAAGTCCGTCTCCGCCAGGGAGCGAACCCACGACCTTCCAATCCGCAATGCGCGTCTAGCCGCTCTGCCACAGCGACTCCCGGAATACGCTTTAACAAAAGAAAATTAAGGAACGCTCTGAATTCAGGTAATTTATAGCAAAGGATATAGTTGCTGTGTTCCTGTGCCAGTGAAAAACCACACAGAATGTCAATCTCTGACCATTGTCAAAAATATACATGGACTGCAATTTTAGCAGAGCCAACAGCATGCACATGCATCAAGGCAACCATTAGAAGTGCCAACACAAACTGTCTAGCACTAGAAATGCAATTTGTCTTCGATGGAAGCAGCTTTTACAACAGATCAGTAGTTGCACATGCAGATATTTACATAAAGCACCACAGGTTATCTGTCAACATGCCTCTGACCATTTTCTGAATTGGCAGTTCACAACACCAACCGCGTTTGGCACTGTAAAAAATCATTCCAAATGAAATTCACAACTCACAGTGTCATGCCATGCACTCAGCTCAGTAGTTGGGTGATGGAACTGTACCCTTATAGTCTACATATGGTGGAAAATGCAGTACCTAACTATTGTCAGAAGCATAAACTTGCTATGAAAAAACAGTAAACCTGCCTATCTGCCATATTGACCAGCAGTCTAAACTAATATTTTGCTTACCTACCAAAATGTAACTAATCTAGGTTTAAACAGTGGATCAACATCATGGCACAAGGGTAGTAACTCAAGTCTGAGTCCAAAGAATCTCAGCATAGTGCACGAAGAAATCCGTAGCACAGACGAGTTTTCTGAAATACTTTAGGTAGATTTTAAACTCCACATTTTTGCCTGGGCAGCACTGTTAGGCTACTGTTTTCAATTTCCAACTGCCGAGGTTTTCTTTACATACACAACAGTACACACAGAACTGAGTTAGCAACCAGGTCTTCATTTTTAACAAGAGTGATCAACTTGAATCACTTAGTCGATTGAGTGGCATTTCCACAATGAAAGTTGGCTGCAGTGTATCACTAACACACTCTGTCTCAAGTCTGGCTAGTACACTCTCTTAGGTTGCTGTTAGTCCATCTCTTGAAGGTGTCCCCCTACTTGTATCATTGTCTGTCTCTTGCACTCCTGCGTAAATTTTCCCTCCAGTATGGTTTTTAAAAGAGAGTTCTATCTTTTAATATGGCCAGACTATTTTAGCTGGCTCTTTTTCGTTTCTTTCAGCGGCTAATTTTAAATTCCACCTCTTCAGAACCTCCATATTTGATTGTTTTTATTCCATGAATACAATCTATCCTTCTGTATAGCCACATCTTCCGGCAAAAATGGAGGAAAGGCTTGGCAGAATGTTTAGCTTCAAAGTTGTTGTCACTTCCGACAGCGCTTTGCTAATGCAGTTTCCACATAAGGACGGTAGTCTACGGTTTTGCTGTCTGGGCTACTGAGTTTAGTGCTTGTTTTCCTGTGAAATGCCTTTCATTTGTGCAGCATTTGTGTCTTGGTATTCAATAGAGCCGGTAGCTGGTTTACGTGTGAGCTGGTGAAATACTTTACGTAATAATTCTGCCTGTGTATAGTAACCAGCTTATCGTACTTCTATCAATGGCAAAGTGCATTTCTGGTGGTGATTGATGGCTTTGGTGCCTCCAGCTACTGAAATATGCATTTACCGCGTGGGCATTTTTCTGAATTGTTCTGGGACTAGTTGTTTTTTCACCAGTCTTTTTATTGCAACAAAGAGGGACATTTCATTTGATTTGCACTGGCACAGGAACGAAGCAAGTATGGGTAAAACCTGATTGCAGTGATGTTGAAACCTCGACTAAGACATCTCCAGAGACTCAATTCCATTTTCTAGTTGCTGTTTATGGTCCAGGTTTCTGCACCGTTTTCTGGGTTTGGGAATATAACTTGAATCAGTGTGGTTAAAAAAAAAAAAACATGAAAATAAATAAATACATTATTTATTGAATGTAGAGTTCACTGACATTCACCGCAACACTTGTTTTTTCTACCTATCAGAATTTGACCTTGATGCTGTCAGCACGCTGGAGTCAAGGCTGGCGCACTACAATGCTTTGCTTCGGTTTGAAAGTCAAGGTCAGGGTGAGAGGAAGAGAATACCAAAGATACAAAGTGCTATTCGGGTAATAGTTGTATCCCTTGTTCTGTTTTTTAATCATCCAATTCCGTGGACAAGTAGTATGAGAGTCACACCATGGAATAGCTTGTGACCTCACCACATAATATTCCCACAGCAGCCACTGTGGAGCCAGTGCGCTTGCATACACACACACATGTGCACAGACACACACACAAAGATAACATACTCCCCAACAAGCATGTCATAAGAGTCAACTAATTGGGGGTTTTCTTTAAAGTCAGAGTGCATCTGCCTGAGAGGCAAGGAACCAACAATCTGCATACAGGTAAGTCAGATCTATAAAATAGTTGTGCACGCAACACTCAGGTTCTGGAACTAGACTAATGTCCAGAGGTGGATGAACAACCAGAACTTTCCACTGGAGTTTACAGTCGGGAAACGCGAAGAAGAAGAAGATGTCCAGACCATCTTATCTGTTGCTCTTTAATGAATTATATGACTTGTCAGTCTGATTTCTTCATTTTTAATTTTCTCTATTCTTCTTACTTCTGCCACTCGACTAAGACACATCTCGTCTCTGTTGTTATGATTTTGCCCTCATTAGTTGTAGTTAATGTCCATGTTTGACATGATAGCATGTGGAATTTACTGCAGTGCAGAAGTAATTGGTTTTATGTCAGAAACTGTTAAAATGTGACCGTTGACAAATACACAAATGGCAGTTACTTATCAAAACTAAATTACTCTCTAACCATACAGGAGATTGGGTACTTCTTAACTGTTGGATGCCCCAGTATAACTGTTTTATAGAGTTGAATGGGGTGTCTTGAGTTTTCTCCCTGTTGGATTCATCATGGTCATCATCATCATCATTTTCCACTTCTGTTGTTAAGCATTGTGGGGAGGAATAGTATGTGATTGCTTGATTTGCAGCAGTAGATATTGTCATTCCAAGTCGATGTAGAAGCACTTTAATGTCATCAGTCCATTGTCTCCTAGGGCGACCTCTTGATTTTACTTTGGAAATTTTCATGTGTAGTGCTTGCATTGATAGTTGTTCTAGCTGTTAGATTGGCATCTATAAAGTGGTTCTTTAAGTCACAGGGTATCACACCTTCTGGCTGCATTTCCATAGTAGTATTAAATTACTTTTTTTAAATGACATTTGCTACGTCTGCACAGCATAATGGACAAACGGTTTATATTATCCCCTGTGGATTCCAGCCTCCATTTAACAAGCAGTCATAACAATTGACTAATTGACTGTTGAAACTGGTTGTGTTGACCCGAAAGGTGCAGGTATCACAGTCGAGCTGTAAACCACAACACAATGTACCAACTACCCTTTTAACGGAGGATACAGAAGAAGAATTCAGACACTGGGTGTTGTTTATCTTTACTATGGAGATGGCAGTTGCTACAGCAACACATCACAGATTAAAAATGTGTATCAAATTCTATCACACACAGACTGTTGAGTTTTTACTGACAAGAGCTAAAGCCAGGAGACCAGTTTGGAAAAAAGACATCCCGCCAGAGTTTGAGTACACTCTTTTGCATGCAGGTAGGTTTAATGTCATGTGGTCTGCTCCTAGTAAAGACATGTGACCATTTTCTTTACTGATTAGGGAACCTTTTAATTGTTTCAAGATTGGTCAGTGAATCTTTTTTATGACATGCCAGGTAGGGTGCAATGTTTTCATTCTTTGCTTCTCGTTGTCCTGACTCTGACATATCTTTTCAAGTGCAGGGTGTGATACAACCTGGTTTAAAAATCACTTACAGCATGTATAGAAATGTAGTGACACAATAAGTAATTACAATCCTCAGTTAGTTAAAATTCTTTTTAACCACCAACAAAGATGCACAGTTGAGGTGGCTTATAGCAGCTCCAGTATGTTACTCATTTCCTGGAGGATTTCATAATATAACACAGAAACTGTCTGATGAATTATTCTGTCTGTATAGATCCTGATCTTTTCTTTAAAATATCCTTATCCATTTATTGTCCCCTTTTCCTCTCCCCCATTCTACATCACAAGAAATAAGTGCGTCTTCACCTTTTTGTGTAATCGGGAATCCTCATTGCACTATTAAATCTAACTTGTTGTTAATCTGTCTTGTCTCCATTTGTATGTGTAAAAATATCTTTGTTTTGTCATGTCCATATTTCAGTAGGCTGTCTGATGTTATTTGTATATTGTAGAAAATAGAACTGGTAAACTCTGAGGGCCCGGGTAATACACAGGCGTTGATCAGGCCTGGTTTGCACTCTTAGGGCCCCGGTAACACACAGGAGTCGATAGGCCTGGATTGGCACTCTGAGGGCCCCGGTAACACACAGGTGTTGATTAGGCTTGGGTTGGTACTCTGAGGGCCCAGGTAACACACAAGCATCATTTAGGCTTGGGTTGGCACTCTGAGGGCCCGGGTAACACACAGGTATTGATTAGGCCTGGGTTGGTACTCTGAGGGCCTAGGTTACACACAGGCTTCTTTTAGGCCGGGGTTGGCACTCTAAGGGCCCAGGTAACAAACAGGCATTGATTAGGCCTGGGTTGGCACTTTGAGGGCCCAGGTAACACACAGGCATTGATTTGACCTGGGTTGGTACTCTGAGGGCCTAGGTTACACACAGGCTTCTTTTAGGCCGGGGTTGGCACTCTGAGGGCCCAGGTAACACACAGGCATTGATTAGGCCTGGGTTGGCACTCTGAGGGCCCAGGTAACACACAGGCATTGATTAGGCCTGGGTTGGCACTCTGAGGGCCCAGGTAACACACAGGCATTGATTAGGCCGGGGTTGGCACTCTGAGGGCCCAGGTAACACACAGGCATTGATTGGGCCGGGGTTGGCACTCTGAGGGCCCAGGTAACACACAGGCATTGATTAGGCCTAGGTTGGCACTCTGAGGGCCCAGGTAACACCCAGGCATTGATTAGGCTTAGGTTGGCACTCTGAGGGCCCAGGTAACACACAGGCATTGATTAGGCCTGGGTTGGCAGTATTTCCTGCACATGCATTATTTATTTTATTTTTTCTATTTCAGCCTTGTTTAATTGTACTTTGTAATTCTCTCCAGCACAATCAAAGGGCCAGCCGGTAAACAAAGCTAAATTAACTCTTCAGCTGAGGTCATTACAAAAAAGAGTTAACACCATTAGCTTCAAAGATGAACAGAGCAAGAAACATCTGGACACACTGAAGCATGTAAATGTTGAAACTGTTAAAATATTTATATCACTGTTTCTGTACCAAATATATATGCTATATGCAAATCACTATATGTTTATTGGGTAGTTAAACAAAAAGCAGTATACTTTTCTTACTCTTCTATTCCAAACAGTTGTACATTTTTAAACATTCACTGACTGAAACTGGCAGAAATTTATGGTTGTTTATCCAGTTTTGCATGCACATACATTTTACAGATCTGGCTTATTTGTGTGCAGACTGTTGGTTTCTTGCCTCTCAGGCAGATGCACTCTGACTTTTAAGGAAACAGCCCTAATTCATCACCTTCTGTGACCTGCTTGTTAGGGGGCAGTGGGGCTATTCTACACTTCCCCCCCCCCCTCCAAGGGAGCCCTAGAATCCACACAGGAAATGGTATGTTAACTCATTATGTGCAAAATGTTAGTTTGTTTCCTTTTTGTTCCATATCTTATTTTTTTAACATCTTTGAACTCGAGCTTTAGCTGCTTTAAACTACAACACTTCAGGATGGACAGAGATTACAGTCTAGTACTGAAAGGACTGCGCTTAACGTTAGCAAATGCAGAAGATGTGAAACAAACTGTTTGAGATATAGTGAATGTCCAAGGGAAATATTTAAAAAAAAAACATTATTAGGAGAGGCTCAAAATTCTGCACTGAACTCATGTCAGAAATCAAGAGAGTTGCATGCAATAGAGCGGAGTGGAGGAATCGAGTGCAAGGCCTGTGTGACTTCTAACGGCACACAAAGGATGATGATGATGATTAAATGCAAAAAAAAATAAACTACTGTAGACAATTTCCTATGATGTTCATACTTGTCAGATAAAATCAATTCAGCCACTACTAACTACGACCAGTATATTGGTAGACAAGTTCCAAAACCACTTTATCATCATGGATCACACAATGGGGCCTCACATGATCCAGATAAATGTGGATGGACCTGAATGTGCATGTTTGCACAAAACTGAAGCCATTTTTACTTTACCAGTAATCATTCTTTATTTTTACCAATGCATTGCCTTGTATAACCTAATGCTCAAGCTATGGCGAGTTTTTTTTATTATGCAAATGGGCTGTTCTGCTTTTCTTCTTCTTCTTCTTCTTCTTCTTTTTTCTATACTCACCAGCTGTGAGCTCTGGCAAAAAGTCCTGGTTGTTCATCCATTTATACTTTGGATTTATGACAGGGCCTGAGTTTTATGTGTACATCCACTATACTGGCTTATTTGTGTGCAGTTGGTTGTTTCTTGCCGCTCAGGCAAATGTACTCCAACTTCAAAGGAGGTTCAGAGTTAGTCAACTCCTACAACATGCTTGTTGCGGAGGCAGTAGGTCTGTTCTTGTTTAACACCCCCCCCCCCCCCACCCCACACAATGGGGTCCCGGAACCCACATGGGGAATCCTTATTCAAGGTTAAATGTGTTATCCACCATCCTGGGATCATGGGGTAGTATGTGTCACTCAGGCTCTTTTCTGGATTCTGCTGGGTACTTTTGAAGTTAGAGCATCAATTTGTACCTCCAGTTTAATCTACCTGCTTCTCCACCTCACCTCAGTCTAGCCACTTAGCCCTTTCGCTGCTACGTTCCCGGAAATAGTTGTCTGCCCTGTGCTAAGCAATGTGAAAAAAAAAGTCTCTGCTGTGCGCAATACTTTTCTATCCTCCAAACGCAAAAGATGCGTCAGCGATGAGGGCTATATTTTGTACACCTAAAAATTTTACCCTGGGGAGTTGTGTGGTTGGTCCGAGTGGTGACAAGTCAGAGGCACGATGGGGCCCCACAAACTTGACTAACAGGGCTATCACCCTTCGGGGGGGGGGGGGGGGATTAATGGGAAGAACTGTTCCCAGTCCGTATCCCAAAATTTGATTGACGAACCTACCACAGCTGCCACTTTAATCATAGTTATTTGTAGTCACCATGTTATTACATACCAAAATAATAAAAAATAATAATAATACTTGAGTCGTCCGGTGCTGAAAAGTAGCATGAACTGAAAGGAAAATTTACAATAATAAAAAAATTTAACAAATTTTTTTAAAAAACACAACTTTGGGGGTTGAACACACGACCCTCCGATTCTAAGGCAAACGTGATACCAACTACACTATGCTACCGCTTGACGCATTGTGCAGTGTGAATGATAATAATGAATGATGTGCGCAGACTATCAGTAATGTGTTTGTAGTCTATCGCCGCCTGCATGAGCACTGTTGTCTGAGAAATGTTTGAGATTCTCAGCAATAATAAAAATATGTCCCTCAACATTATTTTACGGGAGTTTTTAGCAAACAGTCTTTGCTCAAGTACTCTATTTTGAGTTTCTTTGTTCTAAGCATTAGCAGACAGACAGCAAAAAAAAAAAAAAAAATTGTCCGAATCTGTGTCTGTCCATCGGGAAAGACGAGAATTTTTAGTGACTGAACTGTTTGAATTTACAGTAGCAGAAATACAGATAGAGCTGGAGTCATCAAAATTATGCACTACTGGTTTCAAATCATCGGTTCATCAAGACAACTGATCAATTTATTGCCGTTTTGATGGTGCTTCATTGTCGCTGCTCTCTGATTCCGACGATGAGGATGTCCGACAGGCAAACAGCTTTTTTTGGACACGCCGGTTTCAGCAGTCGATACTGATGGCCTAGTCAAATCTTCTTGTTCACTGTCAGAAGTACACATTTCAAAGTCATCTTCGCTGTCACTTCTTGACAGAAACTCCATCAATTCTTCATCAACTTTAACAAGTTTTCTCGCAATTTTGTACTAAGTGTAGAATAATCCAATGCACAAATATATATCAGGGCACAAAATACACAGATCACCAACCACGCTGTCACGGTAAACAAAGCAACGGGATAACGCAAAATGCAGTAAACACACCTTAAACACACCTAAAAGCTCATGCCAGTGCTTTTAATCGTATGTAAATGGGTCAGTTTAATCTAAATATAGCTAATGTATATTGCCCTTCAGCCAATAAAATACGAGGTAATAGAAATCTGTTTAAAAAAAAGTCCAAAAACAGCTTGGGACGTCCATAGCACTGGGGGCCAAGAAAAAAAATAACGTCCAAAGACGGGCGTAGCAGCGTACGGGAAATCAGGAAAAGACGTCCATAGCAGCGAAAGGGTTAAAATATCACATCTCATATGTTTATTCATTATTTATTAGTTATGTTGTGTAGTTTGACCCACCTACAACTTTTGTTTTTCTCTTGCTTTTGCCTGCTGTTTGTTGTTCATGTCCCTTGATGTTAATCTTCCACTTGTATAACTGTCTGCACCCCCCTTCTTCAAAATTGGCTTTCCACTTTCCCTGCCAGTAATGATTTCATGAAAGTGATATCCTAATTTTGCTGAAATATTTTGCTTGCCTTTTTTTTATTTTTTTATTTCAGCAGACTGTTTTTATTTCAATTCTTCCTGGAACCTCTCTATTTGTTATTTTTAACAAGGCCAAATTTATTCATAAAATTTTATCTCAAAATACTCCAAACTACCTTTTCCGATTAATTAAATCAAATCCTATAAATAGCAAGCGACTAAATTTATTACATTTACCTAAACCTAGAATAGATTTATATAAAACAAGTTTAGCGTACTCCGCTGCTCATTTGTGGAACCAACTTCCACTAGACCTGAAAAATTCTAAAAGTCCCTATTCATTTAACCGTAAATTTTTTCAATTCATACTTACAAGCGATTATATGCCACCTTGAATGTAATGTAACCCATATTGCATTATCAATTTATTATTAAACAAAGTGTGTATGATATGTATGTTTGCGCGCGCGTGTGTGCTTGATATATATGTATGTGTAGGCGTGTTTGTATACATATGACTCTGAGTATGTTGTTTGTCTGCTTGTGTATCTGCGTGTGTGTCTGCGAATGTATGCGTCTGTGTCCTTGTGTTGGCGCATATGTCCACGTGTATGTTTCAGTGTGAACTGGTTTCTGTGTGTTTAAGTGTGCCTCTTTGCTGTGTATGTGTGTCTGCATGTGTGTGTGTGCGATTGGATACATGTAGCTGTGAATATGTGTCTGTGTGTGTGTCTCTGTGTTTGTCTGCATGTGTGTGTGTCTCAGTGTTTTTCTGCATATTTGATGTGACTGTGTGAATATCTTCGTTTGTGTCTGTGTGTGTCCCCGTATGTGTTTGTCTTCCTGTTTGCCCGTGTATGTTTATGTGTTTTGTCTGCGGGTGTGTCTATGAGGCTGTATGTATGTATCTCTGTGTGTGGGTGTCTGTATGTCTGTCTGCGTGAGTGTATGTGTCAGCATGTGTGTGTCTGTCTGTGCATGTCTATGTGTGTTTCTCTGTGTGTGTTGTGTGTGCCCCTTTGTTGTCTGTATGTGTCTGCATGTCAGAGTATATGTCTGTGCGTGCTGAATTTATGTGTCTGCGTGTGTATTTCTATGAGTTTGTATGTGTATGCATTTCTGCGTGTTTGTCTCTGTGGGTGTCAGTATGTGTTTGTCTGCCTGTTTGTCTGTATTTGTGTGTGTGTGTGTTTGACTGCGTGTGTGTCTATGTGGTTGTATGTATGTGTCTGCGTATGTGTGGTGTGTGTGTCAGTGTGTGAGCACGAATGTAAATATGTGTGCTGTGTGTTTCCCTGTGTGTGTTTATATGTAAGTGTCTGTGTGTGTGTCTGTATTTTTGTCTGAGTGTGTGTGTCTCTGTGGGAGTGTCCGTGTGTGCATGTGTGTGTCTCCATGCATGACTGTATTTATGACTGTATGTGTGTATGCCTGTATTACGTATGTATGTATGTATGTATGTATGAATGTATGTATGTATGCCTGTATGTTTGTATCTATGTATGTATGTTTGTGTGTACGTATACCTGTGTGTATGCATGTTTGTATGTTTGTATGTATGTGTGTATGTATGTGTGTATGTAATGTATGCATGAATGTGTGTGTAAGTGAGTGGGTGAGCGTGTGTATGTGGGTGTATGTATGCACGCTCGGGTTTTTGCATGCACTTTACAACTCATGCTTTTGTGTTCTTTTATAATATTCATAATATGCATAACATCATATGATCATAACATGCTTTATTAGTAAAACACAACTGCTGTGCGAAAGATGGTTGACTGGAAGGGCCGAATGTAAGACGGGCCTGCGTGCCCAATTTGTGACCCTTTGAAAAAATAGTTCGTTCGTTCGTCTTTATTTCCATGAAGCACAGCCTATTATTCTTTATATCTGGGGCCATGTTAGTGCAGTTGATAGGAGACTCACTTTCAAATCCAGCTGCAATTTGCTGCAGCCCACGGACGGTGTTCAAAACCAGGCGTTTCCCTGAATTTACCAAGCCTCTAGGTAATGGGTACCAGAGTTAACACTCTGGGGTAAATGGAGGAACGTCGCTGTAGCTAAGGAGTTGCGTGCGAACGGCGACACAGTTGGAGTTTCTTATCAGCTGTCCGTACTGGTGGCAGAGCACTTATGGTTTATAACCGTGTGCAATGACCCTGGTTCATATCTCCCGACTTTACCTTTTATCTTTTTATTCTGTATATCCATTCTTCAGAACATAAGTCCAGTTTTCTAAACAGGTTTTTTCTTTGACTTGGTATCTGGACTATATATAATATGTTTGAGAATATATAACCTTTGACAATTGTCATTTTTATTTAACTGTGCTTAAGTCTGTTATAAGGAACACATATTTTTCCTATTTGTCATTTACACAGAAATTGCAAGAGTTTGAAACAGACTTTCAAAAAGCACAGATGTCTACGGAACTAGAAGACCGCTTGACAACTTTTTCAAAGTTAATAGAAAATGTGGAACAAAAGGCTTGTAAGTTGTAGAGACTATATTTAAATATTATTACTAGACATTCATCGTAGACATTCATGTGTAGTATTTTCCCCACTTAGTTCCACTGGACGAAGAGTTGAAGAAAAGATGCTGGCGTTGGATAAGACACTATATATATATTTTCCCCACTTAGTTCCACTGGACGAAGAGTTGAAGAAAAGATGCTGGCGTTGGATAAGACACTATATATATATATATATATATATATATATATATATATATATATATATATATATATATATATATATATATATATATATATATATATATATATATATATATATATATATATATATATATATATATATATATAATGTCTCTGCACTGGAACCCACAGGGGCATAGGAATAAAGGAAGACCAAAAAACACATGGAGAAGATAGTTAGAGAGTGAAGTTAAAAAGATGGGGAGGACATGGGGAGCTGCATGCGATAGCAAAGGATAGAACAACTTGGCGTGAGTTGGTTGAGTGCCTATGCTGTATTGGGGGTTAGAGAGGCAGAAGAAGAATGTTCCAACCTAACAGTGAATACATTCCAAGATCCTTCATGTAAAACTCAAAATTGAAGTGAATTATATGCATACTTGTTATATATTTACAGGTAGATAGAGCATTTTTTCTTAGTGGCAATAACCCTGAAGAAACAAACCTAACAGAAATGCACTCTTTAGCTGGACACACATACCTTTAAGGGAGTTAGATGTGTAACTATGTTAGATACACCGTGCTTTGACTGGCAGAGCAGTGCTCTTCTGATCCAACAGCTTCTGCGGCACGCTGTGTTCAAAACATATTGTGTTAACCTTTTCTTTAGAGATAACAAATCAGGCATAGAGAGGAATCATGCTCCATGGTCTCTATAATAGTGGGAGTGGCCATGATATAGCGGCTAGACGCTCGCTTGCAGATTGGAAGGTCGTGGGTTTGGGTCTTGACGGTGCCAGACTTTTTTTAAGAAATGACCTTGGCTCCCAGGTCGACCCAGCCTTGAGTGTGTACCAGGTGCAATTCTGGGAAGTAAAGGTGGCCGGCCTGATGGTGACCGCATCACCCACGAAAAGCCGATTGGCCTGTAAAATATAGGTCTAGCTTTATATGCCTAATATGCCTAAAGGTATAAAAAAGGGTTCTTTACTTTTATTTATTCTGTAATAGTGTCCAGGTTTTGTCCGATTGAAGATTCTTCTTAACAAGAGCTGGTCTTGCTAGTCACCCCCACCATCGCCATAGGCTGAGATTCCCATGCCTCCCTGCAATACAGTGGAACACTATCATCTGCTACCCCCGTGTGGGTTCCAGGGCCCCATTGTGGGGAAAACAAAAATAGACCCACTGCCTCCCCAAAAGCATGTCGTAAGAGTCGACTAATTGGGGAGCTTCCTTTGAAGTCGGAGTGCATCTGCCGGAGAGGCAAGGAACCAACAGTCTGTATTCAAGAGAATGAGATCTGTAAAACCGATGCACCACTCAGGTTCTGGAGCAGGACTGCATTTCAGTAGTGGACGAGCAACCAGAACCTTCCGCCAGAGTTTACAGCTGGTGAACGCGAAGAACAAGAAGAAGAAGACTATCATCTGCAAAGGCAGAAATCTGCCAGCAAACAGACAACAACAATACTGCCAGCAAACAGACAACAACAATAGATATATAGATCAGATCTGTAAAACGAATGTGCGCACAAAATTCTAGTTATGGAACAAAACTAAAATCCAGAAGGGGACGAACAACCAGAACTTTTCACTGGAGTTTACAGCAGGTGAGTACTAAGAAGAAGAAGAAGATTATCAGTCCTTATCAGTGGACTGGGGGGGGGGGGGGGGGGGGGGAGGGGGATCTTATTTTTGCACATCTCCCATTCATTCATTATCAGCACATATCAGTTCACTTGATCTGTTCGCAGTTGCTGAAAAAACCAAAGATTTGGACAGGCGAGAGGAAGACCTGAGCTTGATTGAGACAAGATTGACTGAGTATAAAGCAGCAGTTTTGGCCAGTAAGCAAGATGGGCAGGTCAAAGATGCTATTAAGCATTTCAAAGTTCTCAAGGTTTGTTTTAGGGAACCTCTTATATGTCCAGATTTTTCACCTACCTTGATCTGTCAAATCAAAATTGCCAGTAATTAATGCCAGTTATACAAGAGCATGATACATTTTTGTTGGTTTTCTTAAGAATAGACGATACCTTTTTTTAAAAAAAATTGTAATGGCATGATACAACAGGAAATATTATTCAAATTAAGTATATATAAAATTGCCCGTTTGGGTTCTGAGGCCTCATTTTGGTGAGGTGAATAAAAAGAATGGACCCACAGCCCCAAAAACAAAATCTTACAAAAGGGGACTACTTAAGGAATTAATGAAATCAAATTTGTTGAGCCAGAAGGTACAGATATTGCAGCCTAGCTGTAAACCACAACTAGGCATGCCAGTTTCCCTTTTAAGGGAGAGTGCAGATAAAAGAAAAGAAGAATTGTAAAACTTAGCAAACTTGTATTCTTCAGGATCTCTAATTTGATAAATGATTATTCTAAAGATGATGCATAATAATACTGGTGAAATTTTGAAATTGGTTAAAAAAAAATTATGATGTCAGTTTCACAGTCTATCAATCAGAAATATCTCGTCACCTATCTAGGAAAGTTGGATACATCAGAGTAATACTTCCTGCAGCCTGAACATGCTTGAGTTTTAAACATTTTTAAGATTGAACCGGGCATCTTTAATTAGTTTCTGTTAGATTCTTCTTCTTCTTCAGCGTTCCGAGCCCTTGAGGTCCATTGCTGCAGATATCACCTGCCTCTACTCGTCTCTCTGATTGGCCTTCTCTTTTCACTTGGTGACACCAATTGCTTGCAGGTCTCTCTGGATATAATCTCTCCATCGTCTTTTTGGTCTGCCTCATGGTCTAAAACCATTCAGCTCCCTTGTGTATATAGTTTTTGCCTCACTGTCATCTGACATTCTTCTGTTAGATTGATATTTGAAATATGATAGAACTTCAGGTAGCAGACCAAGAAAGAAAATATAAACAATAATAATTTACAGAATCTTTCAGTCAATTCACCATTTTTTCCTTGTTTACTCAAGGCATAATGGACTTTACTTGTATCCTTTTCTGTTTGCATCTATGGCCTGCGCATTGTGAACATGCTTCTCAATTCAGTGGTGCTGGGTTTGAGACCAGTTGTGGGTGATTTGGCAGCGGACCCCTTGCCCTAGTTCCAGCAATGATATCGAGAGATTTGAGTTTAGAAGGCGATGGCAAATTACTTAATTTCTCAACTATTGCCTCAACTCATATAATATTTAAAAGACCCTTTATATGCCATTGAAATATATAAAACTGAACGAAAAGCAGATCAGCAAGCTTCACAATATAACAAACACAAATGAAACGGTAATGTTGCGGCTGCAGAGTCTTCATCAGCACAAACATAAATCCGACAAAACAACACGAATACACAAAAATCACTTAAGTAATGTTAAAGGCATGGAAGCAGCCACGTTGATGTCTTGCCAGTGGAATGAAGAGACACATAGGGCCCGAGAATATATAGCCCTGGAATGCCAAGGGCTATAACTTGAGAGTTTTAGATGAAACTATGTTGACAGTTCAGTTCCTAAGGTGTTTGTGTCCCCAGGATGAAAATAAAGTGATTCTCAGGGGACTTGCGGGCTCTGTCGCTGGAGGGGCTGGATTTAATGGCTGTCACTTTCATGTCTGTCCTGGACACCTTAATGATCCTGGGAATTAAAGTGCAACAGTACTGGTTTCAGGGCACCGTTCTGCACATCCAAAAGATGTTGTCGGAACATGTCAGCCAATCGTAGTCGTAGCCAGATGTTATTTACCATTGGCACATTAGGCATAGGATGCACAATGAATATTTTGAATAGACCAACTAGCACTTAGATGGTGATGTGGTCATTACTGCACTGGTCCTCTTTACTTCCAAAGATTTTTCTTGCTACTCATTTTAGGCTGGGTCAACCTGGGAGCCAAGATGATTTTTTTTTTGGACATCCACCCCAAAGTAGTTTCAGATCCTCAGGGTGGCCCCATTAGTTTACATATATAGCAAAAATAAACACATCACCAGCGCCTTTACAAGCGTAATTCCAGCTGTGCTAATGCATGTTCTTTAGCAGTGGAGCTCACGCGTAGAAATTTATTTTCATAATAATGGTATTTTCCCCACGTAGGGGACACCCTGTAGTATTTTCATTTAAACTTCATCAGAATCAGACCTGTATTGCTTTAAATCAGCAACTGCTTGGCATGAACAGGGTTAAAGTAATAACTTCCTGTGTCAGAAAGAGTTAAAAATGTGTAGTTAAAATGTGTTAATGTTTAAAGAATGCGTAGTTTCTGTTCAAAATTTGTATAGAGATTTTCTGCATTGTAAACAAATGTTCATACATATCATATTGTCATAAATATTCTGTATTTAGGGCTTACAGGCACTCAAAGAAGCACTGGAGAGAGAAGAAACTGTGGATATGACACTTGTAAGTTGTCAAGTTCTTCTTCTTCTTTTTCTTCTTCTTCTTCTTCCTTTTCTTTCTATTATTCTTATTCTTCTTCTTCTTTGTTCATCTTAAAAGGGTACTTGGCACATTGTGTTGTGGTTTACAACTAGGCTGTGATATCCATGCCTTTTGCCCCAGCAAAAGTCTAATTATTCATCTTTTACAGGATGCTTGTTAGAGAGCAGTAGATCTATTCTTTTACCTCCAAAAAATGAGGTCCGGGAACCCACAAAGGGAGTAGCTAAGTTCTCCTGTCTTTGAATTTGTTTCATGAGATCTATTTCCTTCTGTTTGGTTATTACTAGCGCTTGTTTTGTAAAGTGTTGGTACTTAACAGACAGTGGCTCTAACGGGTGCCCTTACTCACCATAATGTGTCTTACAGTAGTGCTGGGAAAAAAAAGGTGCTGATACTGAGTATTGTTGTGTACCCCCAGAAAGAATAAAAAGCAGTCATCATTACATTTTGGGAGGAGGAGACTCTCTAGGGAAGTGGTTAGTCTTTAGCTGAGGCTCTGAAAGGTATGGGTTCAGTTTCTGACTGTAATTTGGTTCCAGCAGGTGTTTCTGAGATTCTTGGGAGCTGTCTTCCTCACTGAGCCCTGTGATGTGTGGCCAGACCAGTTTATTTGCTCTCTGGCAGTAGTTGTGATGTGTGGCCAGACCAGTTTATTTGCTCTCTGGCAGTAGTTGTGATGTGTGGCCAGACCAGTTTATTTGCTCTCTGGCAGTAGTTGTGATGTGTGGCCAGACCAGTTTATTTGCTCTCTGGCAGTAGTTGTGATGTGTGGCCAGACCAGTTTATTTGCTCTCTGGCAGTAGTTGTGATGTGTGGCCAGACCAGTTTATTTGCTCTCTGGCAGTAGTTGTGATGTGTGGCCAGACCAGTTTATTTGCTCTCTGGCAGTAGTTGTGATGTGTGGCCAGACCAGTTTATTTGCTCTCTGGCATTAGTTGTGATGTGTGGCCAGACCAGTTTATTTGCTCTCTGGCAGTAGTTGTGATGTGTGGCCAGACCAGTTTATTTGCTCTCTGGCAGTAGTTGTGATGTGTGGCCAAACCATTTTATTTGCTATCCAGTAGTAGTTTTGTTTTGATGTGTGGCCAAACTATTTTATTTGCTGTCTGGTAGTAGTTTTGATGTATGGCCAAACCATTTTATTTGCTCTCAGGTAATAGTTGTGATGTGTGGCAAAACCATTTTATTTGCTCTCTTTTAGTATGGAATATAAGCATCAGGCTGTAAACCAGCTACTTGCAGTGGAAATGTTGTTTTTGAGAAGAATGCAAATAATGTCATGAAGTGATATGAACACTGATGAGACAATCATTTTTGTGAGAAATGAACACTTTTAACTGATTTAAATTGGACGCAGACAGTTCAAACATTTTTGAATATGTAATGAGAAGGAATAAACTTGAAAATGTGGTGAACAGATGCTCTGTGACGAGAAAAAGAGTGATCTCAATTAAATGAATTTGAATCTCTTGCCTTTAACCCTTTCTGTCCAGTAGTACTTTAAAAAAAAATTGTGTCAACCCGATTGAATTCCATAAATACATCCTAGATAAATAAAGAACAATGTTACACAGGTCACTGATAAATTCTTTAAAATGTATTTATCTACATGATACAACAATTTTTTCAACATAAATAGATACATGAAAGTAGAAAGCAGTAAACATGAACGGGGTGGAGCATTAAATGGAATACATTCCCGGGGACCTGGAAAAAACAACATATGTATGGTATGACTCATGCTGTGACCTCTATCAATGAGGCTGTGGGGAAATTGGATGTCAGCTTGGCTTTAAAAAAGCTATTTTACTGAAAAGTCACCCCCTTAAATGCTTTTGATTTAAGTTAATGCAGTCATATTATGTCTACCCAAACATTTGAGCCAGCATGAAAACAGTGAATGGCATTAACTAATCGACCCATAAACAGGTCACTATAGACAAGTCTGAAAAGTGACATTCACTGTGAATTAGGTCCAACTGGACATGTCAGTTTTGCTGTTTTATGGGGTGAAGGGGTTGAACAGTCTTTTAATCTAAAAAAGTTTTTTTGGGTTAAATTTATAAAGAACAAATTCATGTAGAACAGCGCTTTAGGGGTCAAATCACCCTTTCACAGAGGTCACAAGACCATAGGAAAACACATATTCACTGAAGTTATGAAGTAGCAGCGAAAATAATTTTATGGTTGGGGGTCACCACAAAATAACGAACTGTATCAAAGGGTCACAACATTATGAAGGTTAAGAACCACTGTTGTATAAATTGGTGGCAGAAACTACAGTGGTTTGGGGGCCAAACTAAATTGTTTGCTTTCTGTTGATAGTTGTTATGTGTGATCGAACTGCACATTTGTTTACATCCCTTACTTTACAGTTTGTATGTGAGACATGGACAACAAGCTGAAAAACACATACTGGCCTCAGGACTAATTGGGGGTTTCCTTTGAAGTTGGAGTGCATCTGCCTGAGAGGCAAGGAACCAGCAGTCTGCTTATAGATAAGTCAGATCTGTAAAATGGATGTGCCCGCAACATTCAGGTTCTGGAACAAGAACTGGTGTGATGGTGACCGCATTACCCCCTGAGTGCCAATCGGTCTGTGTTATATATAGGTCTAGCCCCGTATGCACTGAAAGGCATGGAAAACGGTCCTTTACGTTACTTTTACTTTATATTAACATTTATAGGTTCCCCCGCCTCCAAGGGATTTTACACCAACAAGTGAATCACTTCCATCCTTGACAGACTTAAACCAAACCTTGGTGAGTGTGCTGTTTGTTTAAAGTTTGATTTTCCTTCACACTGAGGTGCTCAGTACTTACAGTGTATGTCTCCATGTTAGTGACAATTTGCATCTTTTTCTTATTTTCTCTTTATTCTTCTCCTTCTTTTCTTCAGTTTTTTGTTGTTGTTGCCCTTCCACTTCACTTTTTTTTTAAATTACGCTCCTTTTTGTTTTCCTTTCTTCTCCTCCTTCTTTTATCCTTTCTTCACTCTTCTTTTTTTCTTCTAATGTTCTTTCTCATGTGTATTTTGCCCATGTGGATTCTGAGGAGCAATTTTAGGATAAATTCTTTTTTAAATACCACTGCCTCGTAACAAGCACCTTGTGCTTTAAGGTGACTAATTAACCTTTTTCTCGAATGTATTGGGTCGAAAGGCACATATATTGCAGCCCTAGCTTTAAACCCCAGCACAGCATGCCAAACTCCTCAAAAGCAAATGCAGAGTAAGATGAAGAAGAAGCGATTTTAGTTTTAGTAATACACTTTTGCTGCAGTCTTTGCAACACACAGGAGGAGCAAGATGAGATGATAAGTAGGAATTTCAGTTTTGTGTGATTAAAGCCCTAGAGGGGTATACTTATATTGACAGTTATCTGTTATTTGAGCTTCAACGTAAGTTGATACCACTGTTCCTTATATTGATTACAATACAAGCTTCTTCTTCATGTTCACCAGCTGTAAACTCTGGCCGAAAGTTCTGGTTGTTCATTCACTTCTGGACTTTAAATCTTGTTCCAGAACTTGAGTTTTGCGTGCACATCTGTTTTACAGATCTGGCTCATTTGTATACAGACTGTTGGTTGCCTGCCTCTTGGACAGATGCACTCTGACTTTGAAGGAAACACTCTTTATAAGTCGTCTCCTGTGACATGCTTGTTGGTGGGGGGGGGGGGGGGGGGGGTGAGTCTATTCTCTGTTCTCCAAAATGGAGCCCAGGAATCAACATGGGGAGATTACAATAGAATAAACTGCTGTAGTTGAATTCAAATGTTTAGTTCACTGCGTTGATCTAGTCCTCTGAAATACTCAAGAATATTGTTTTAACCTTATTATCGCAGCAGATGTGTAACTGGAGATTTTATGTTAATTTTAAAGTGAAGCACAAAGCATGAGTCTTTTTAAATGAAACACACATATCATATTTTTGTGTGTGTTACATGTACATCTCACCAACGGAAGGCTAAAATTAACCATGTGATCCTTTTGTTTACATAAGACTGGATTTCTTGCCCTAATTACCACTTCTGCTGCCAGTTTTGATAACTGCCATTTCAGTAGGACATAACTTAAAAGATACAGCAAAATTTGCCAGGCAGTAAAGTGATTTCTTCTTCCAATATATTGTTTTTTTTTTTTTGGCCCTCATTATGAAAATTCACAACATTATTTGGAAGATGGAAAATACCATCATAGACTCAGCTTGATAACTGAACCTCCTGATGGTAAAAGGCAGACAGTTCACAAGAATGTCACGAATGTAGTTTAGGGTACCTGATATCCATCAGAAAAAAAAGTAAACAATTCTTCACGTTAGTAGAGCAGGGTCTTGTCTTAACATCCAGAAACTGTGTCAGAGGCAGAAACCACAAAATATTTATGTGAATGCTGTAGGCAAGGTAAAACTGCTACATAATCTATATAAGTTTATGAGCATATCATTTGGTCATGTCATAAGTACATTGTGATGGTGGTTAGGCTATGTTATCACAGTCGACGTCACTGCACATTAGGCATTCCCATGCGTGCTCAGTACTCCGATGCAGCAGTCACTTCAAGGTACTTCTGCTGGTTGGTTATAATGTCTCCTATCTCTGCCTCGAATGTGGCATAGAAGTGCTTCACCATGCTTTACTCCCATGTCATGCAGTCGTGTTAGTGTCCGAGATTTGTATGATGCTAGGAAAGTTTGAGGGGAAAAGAGGAAGAGGCTGGCCGAGAGAGAGAATGCTGGACAGTTTGACTTTGACGCCATGGCATGGAAGACTATCTGTTTGAGAACTGATTAAAATTACACAAGACAGAAGGTTGTGGATATTCATGACTACCAGCGCCACATGACATGGATTATAAGGAGAAGAGAAAATCACAGACATGGAAAGGAAGACCGGATTACCAGACATGACATATTAGAAAAGTAATAGACCCTTTTCACATTATTGGCGCATTGGACATGTGGTCCTAAACCCATTTCTTTATAGAACAGTCAGCACTGAATGAATGATGTGGTCAGAGCTGCCACCTTTATACTTCTGATGATATTTCCTGGTACCAATGTTTCCCTGGGTTGGCATGGAAGCCAAAGTCTTTTTTTTAAAACCCTTTTAATACCAAGGAACACACCATGTGTGACCAGAATTTACTCATGTGCATCAGTCAAGATGTTATGTATGTTTGAATAAGTTACATTTAGTTTGGGCATACAAACCTCTCCAACAACAGCTTATCTTGTATAGAATTTTGTGTATTTAGCCCCTGATGATGTTGTACAGCTGTGATTTTATTGTTTTAATAATTGCCTCACTCAGGCATTAGCTTTAACTTTATAGAACTAATAGCGAAAAAGATTTGCCACAATACAAATTGATATAACATACTTATCTTGAACAGTTTCTCATTTGATGGTCCGTTGACCCCTGGGAGTCTGCTGCATCATTAAGATTCCCTTATATTTTACCACAAAAATAAAACTCAGCTTTAGCCTGCAGTTCTGTTTTGCAATTCTGGTATTTATAAATTCTAAAAGTTCCTCCGTATAACTAGCTTGTTTCCCTAAAATTAATTCCAGTGGGGTTTTTTTTCAGACACAAAAATCTGCATTTATTCATGAACAAAACTCTACATTTATTCAAATACAGTCCTGTCATCTTCTTTTGAAAAATCCAAACTTTCCAAATTCTGAATTCTGACATGAATTAGGAACTACATCCCTTCATTATCAAGTATGCACCAATGACATCTGTACTCTGACTGGCCATTCAACGTCAAGTCTCTCATTCTAGCTGACGATCTTAACTAGGGCTTATATTTGGGGTAGGGCTTATATTAAACACATCCTGAAAAATTGTGCTAGGGCTTACTTTTGAGGTAGGTCTTATTTTCAGGGGAACATGGTATTAACAACTATGGTGTCCATGGCAGACTTTTGAAAATAAGAGAGCTCACCAGGTCTTAGCCAGTTGGGGAAAAAACTGTTTGAGAATATTTCTCCACACTAAACACTTTTGTAGCAGGATCTACCGTAGCTTTATCCTTTAACTTGTATTCTGGACTGTACTCATTTAAATTTTTTTAAAACTCAAACTTTCATCAACCAGGCTACAAAAGATGTATCCCAGAATTCTTCTGGAGCCACAGCACACCTTTCACCAGTCTTCATCAAACCAGCGGTAGAAACAGCCGAGGACAAACTGGCCAAGAAGCTGTTCTCATATTTAGATAAAGGTGCAGACTCCAACTTGCCCATGTCTAAACAGATGCTGAACATTAACAATATTAGTACTGCACCGGTACAGTACCTCCCAAAGGTTCAGAACACAAATGCAAGGAACGATGGTTTGGTGGCTTCATCCAGCAGTAACGAAGCAAGCATTGATCAGATGGTTTCAGTCGGTGATACAGATCGAATGGATTCAATCAATGATACAATGACAGGAAATAAGCCAGATGGTATAGAGAAAGTAGAAGCTGAAAGGTCATTAACGGGATATGAGGGAAGTTTCTATTCATTGGATTCACAAGCAGTAGTGCATGATCAACATGTTATTTCACAAGTTGCAGATGAACATCAAGACCAAAGAAGCAAAGGAAATGAACAAGAAGAAGAAAATAAAAGCAATCAAAGTAATGAGGTGGTAGCTTCAGAAAGAGATACTCCAAATCCTCCTCTGCCTAAATCTTCAGACATTTATTTGAGGAAAACTCTGGATAGTGTTGGTTTTCTTTCTTGCCAAAATGTGCCTGACCTTTCAACTTCAGTGAACACAGTATTTGAGTCAAGTAACTCAAAAGTGAATGATCATATACAATCAGAATTAGGAACCGCAAAACAGATAAGCTCTGAAGTAAACCTGGAAACTGTAGAACAGCAGGATTCTGAAGCTAACTTACATATGAACAACAGAAGTCTAAATGTGGATGAGGGAACACATGCTGATTCAGCATTTGGTTTCAATCATGTGGACTTACCATCTCATGAGTTCAGCTCTCTAAACCAGCCGCTTGAAGCTAGTGAACAAAATACCATTGCAGTCAATGTCAGCTCACAGAACAGTAACACACAGAGTACCGAATTTCCAGGAAAACAGTCAGACATCTTTGAGTCTGCACAGGATACAAGTAATGAAAGGAATAATGATGCATCTTCACATGGAACATTACCTGAGCTCAATTTTGACGTGGATACTCAAAACATGACCATAGGTCACTCAGGTTATTCAGACACATCAATGCCTGAAGTCCTGGCATATGTATCCAGTGATAAAGACTTGCAGCTGCCTTTGCATTCTTTATCTGGTGCTTTCATTCCAGATATTGTTAGATCAGACACTTCCTTGGCTGCAGATGTTGATACTTCCCAAAGTAATAGCAATATTAGAAATGTTGGCCAGCTTGTTGCCTCAGACGAAGATGGTTTAGAAATGGATCAGGCAGCTAGCTTGACCACAGGTAGAAACGATGTCCCAGATGCAGATGCAGCTGCAACTCAGGACAGAAATGGAAAATCATCTCCTGATACTCTGGAGTTTCTGGACCTGATGGATTCAATGGCCATGCCAACTGCTGCAGAACCTGTTTCATTTCCGTATTTCAGCTCTTCCGATGTTGCATTATCATTAAGTAGGCAGTCAGAGCCAGTTTTGTCAACCCAGAAGCCAGATGTTTTATTAAAGGAAAACCCTACCAGTACCGAAGTTGTAGCACACAATACTGAAAATGATAATATGGAATTTCAAGCTGTCAGAGAAAACGGCCAGTCCTCTCAGGCTGCAGTTGTGTCATCCAGCAGTGGTCTCTATGTTGACCAGGCTGACAACATTGTTGTACTTGACAAAGATAAGCTGAACAAGCCTTATACATCTAGCGTCATCACAGAATCTAACCACTTCTCTCAGAATCATCAGAAAATATCTTTCTCCTTGTCCAATTCACGTGAAGATACAGCAGTCTTTTTAAGTAATAATAATACAACATTAGAATCAAGTTCTCAAAGCCAAACTCCCCACAATGGCTTGAGTGAAAACCTTACTGCTACAACTTCTAAGAATCAGCTTGGAAACAACTTCACAAGAGCTGTTGGCTCACATTCACAGTCCAGATCCCAGAGTACCAGTGCTGCCAGATCATCTAATAATGATTTTTCTTATAGCGAGTAAGTATCTGAAACTACTACTTGTTGTTCTTCATTTAGCTTTCATTATGAAATGTTATGTCAGTCTATGATGTGCTGTCTCCACAGTGAAGGTTGACTGCAGTGGATCTCCCAACACTTTCTGTTTCTTGTCTTGTCTTGTCTTTTGACTCTCTTAGACTGTTCTTTGTTCATATCTTAATGTTATCCCCCCATTGCTGTCTATCTCTTGCTCATCTGTCTTCAACTTGTACCTTTTGATAGGCTTGTATAAGAGTTGCATCCTTAAATGTGGCTAAACTGTTTCAATTGTCGCTTTTTCTTTCAACAACCCACTTTACACTCCCAGTCTTTCCAAATTTCTGTGTTTGTTTGTTTGTTTTGTTTTCATAAAATTGATATTTCTTATGTACAACCACCTATCCAGGGCCTCAATTCAGCATTCATGAACATTTATATTTTGACCAACTTTCTTTCCCAGGTAACTTATCCAGAGGCGCCATTGTGTAGTGACTAGATGCTCGCCTATGGATCCAAAGATCGTGGGGTCAAATCCCAACTGAGCCAGACTTTTTAAAAAATGATTTAGGCTCCTAGTTCGACCCAGCCTTAAATTGGTACCAGGTAAAGTCCTCGGAGACAAAGGCAGCCAGCGTGATGCTGACCACTTCACCCATCGAGCACCAATAGGTCTATAAAATAAAGGTATAGCACTATATGCCCCATACACCTGAAAATACGGAAAGGGATCCTCTACTAGAACCTATCTGACACGCAGTTTGGTTGCATAGGTTGTGAAACTGCTATTTTTAATCAAGCAAATATTTTGCTCAGTGTAACAAAGAGAGTTATTGCTTAAGCTTGAATTTACTTCTTTCATTCGGCCTTCGTCGTTTTATAAAATAAAGTACTCTGCTGAGAACCCGCTGCCCCGAGTGGTCAGAATGCCAGCTCTCATGCGGTGGCAAATTTGGGTTTGATCTTCAGTAGGGGATGGAGATTTCTTTCCTATTGGGGGCAACAATAAAAATCCTATCCTAACCTGAATAGCTTAGAAATTTAGATTTAGAAATGGATCAGATGGTTAACTATGATAGAAGAGATGTAACAGCTTCAGACGATGCAAGTACAAATAAGGATATAAATGGAAAATTATCTCATGATACCCTTGAGTTTCTGGACATCATGGACTCAGGGACCTTGCTAGCGGCTGCAGAACGTTTCCATATTTAAGCTCTTCCAGTGTTATGTTGTCATCAAGTAGGTAGTCAAAACCAGTTCTTTCATCCTAAAAACCAAATGTTTTATTAAGATCTGCTTCATTTTTTCTTAGCATTCCGCAGCTGTAAACTCTGGTCGAAAGGTTTGCTTGTTTGTCCACTTCTGGACTTTTGCCTTGTTCCAGAATTTGGGTTTTGCATGCATATATTTTGCAGATCTGGATTATTTGTATGCAGATTGTTGGTTCCTTGCCTCTCAGGCACAGACACTCTGACTTTGAAACACCCCTGATTATCGCCTCCAATGACATGCTTATTGTGACAGAGCAGGGGAGGGGGGGGGGTGTCAGCAAGTCTATCCTCCATACCCTCCAGAATGAGTCTCTAGAATTGATAAGGGTATTCTTCATTACATAAACTGCTGTACTTTACTGAGGAGTGGCTGGCCAAGTGGCTAGAACGCTCTCTGTCATGAGGAAGATCCAGTGGATTTGATCTTTGGTAAGAGATGCAGATTTTTCTGTCGGAGCAACCAAAAAAAATTCCAGCCTGCAAATTTGATGACAACTGCACAAGTCCTGCAGCCTTTAATCTCACAATCTGCCTCTCCAACACCGTCCTAAAAGTTGTAAACGTTGTCAACAGTCAGTCACTCAGTTGTGATCTCCACAGTGAAAATTAGCTGCAACTGATCTCCAACACTCTCTTGTCTCCTGTCTTGGTAGTACAGTATCTCAGACTGCTGTTTGTCCATCTCTTGATGTTGTCCTCCCACTTATATCATTATCTACCTCTTGCTTTCTCACCTTCAATTTTTACCCACAAAATTTGTAAACACAGGCTGTTTGTTTGTTTGTTTGTTTTAGTATCCAGAAGCCATGAGTTGTTAACCCTTAGACTCGGTATTATGGATATCGCAACCTTTTGGCCTTGATTCCATTGTAAATACGGTAAATCTGGGAGAAAATGTGGCTTTCCTGCCTACCCCAGGATTGAACCCGGACCACAAGGAGTTCGTCACCCAGTCTCAGCGCAATCCGGTTTAGCCAACTACGCTAGAGAGCCGGGCAACACAGGCTGTTAAAAACAGGTGTTTTTCTTTAGTGCTTGTCCAAATATGTTTTATTGTTTAGGTAATGCATCCAACCTGTGGCAGATTATTTCTTCTCCTCCTCCTTCTCCTCCTCTTACTCCAGGTACTTCATAGCTTGCAGTAGAATCATATATCACATAATTATAATTATTTGATAATTTCACAAAGTATTGATGTATACATTTCTTTTGAATACTTGCAGTGTTGCCTTCACATGCTTGGAAAACTTAAAATATGACTGCCTTCTCAGTTTGTCAAAAGTAAGTACATTATTTAAACAGATGGGTGTTCTTGTTTTTAATTGTGATGTTTTCCTAATAACAGTCTGTTAAATTGAAATGTGGATGTATAGAAAATGAGCATTTATTAAAAAGAGATAACTCATATAATGAAGTTGTAAAAGTTCATGAAATATATTTATTTTTTTTGACACAATAATACACTCATCATCATCGTGTGCCTTGTCAGTTGATATAGACATGTGATAGCAAATGGTGAGTTAAAGACATGCTGGGTAGGGTAGGGCGATCTGCATACTTGTCCTTTCACCTGCTTCTAAATTGTCTGGTTTTTCAATCACTCGTGGACTTTGGATCTTGTTCCAGAACTTGAGTTTTGTATGCATATCTATTTTACAGATCAGTCTTATTTGTATGCAGGCTGTTGGTTTCAGGCAGATGCACTCTGGATTCAAAGGAAACACCCCTAACCAGTTGCCTCCTATGGAATGCTTGTTGGAAAGGTGGGTGGGGTGGGGGGGGGGGGGAGGTGCAGTGGGTCTGTTCTTTGTTTCCCCAAAGTGGGACCAAGAACCCACACTAGGAGATTCATTTTTTCATTCATTCATTTATTTATTCTTTCATTAATTCGTCCTAACATTTGTTCTTTCATTCCTTCATTCATTCTTGTTAAGGCATGTGATTTAATGTTTAAGGGCACAGAGGAAAGCTTACTGGAGGAGAAGAAACTGAAAATCAAGTTTGAACAGATTAAAAATAAACTTCGGAATGGAGGAAAACGGACATGGGAGGGTAAGAACTCACTCTAGTTTGTGGTCTTCAGGACTTGTTTGTTACTTTCAGTAATCTTGGAATTCTCTCCCTCCCTCTCTTTCTCTCTCTCTCTCTGTCTCTCTTTTGTGTTTGTTTTTTCTTTTCTTTTTGATATTCATAATAAGCATATTATCAAATGGATACAACATGCTTATTGATAAAATACAGCTGCAGTGTGAAAGACGGGTGTTTGGAAGGGCCGAATGTAAGACGGGCCTACGTGCCCAGTTTGTGACCCTTTGAAAATAAGGTTCATTCGTTCCTTCGTTCGTTCTCACTCTCTCTCTTCCTCTCTCTCTCTCTCTCTCTCTATCTCTCTCTCTGTGTATCTCTCTGCATCTCTCTGTCCATATCTCTGTCTATCTCTCGCTGTCCATTTCTCTGTGTATGTGTCTCTCTCTGTCTTTCTTTGTGTGTGTGTATCTCTCTCTTTATGTCTCTGTTTCTTTATATATCTCTGTCTGTCTCATCGGACTGTCAGTCTTTTGCTCCAGTTTGTTGTATCCTATGCAGTCCTTTCGAGGTCATAGATGGAATTCAGTCCAGCACCCGGGATTTCTGCCATCAGCGTTGTTTCAGGGGTTTTTTGGTGACGTCCTAGCTTCTTCTGTCGTATTATTTCCCAATTCTGTGCCTGCTGGTGATCCTTTGACTGTTTTTTCTCAGGATGGACTCAGTATAGCACCATATTGTTTGTCTTATAACTGTTGTTACCAGTGGTTGCCCAGACATTTCTCTCTTCTCCTCTCTTGATTGGATTCCTCCCATTTTGTGTTCGTTCCATTTTATTTTCATTCCAATTTTATGTTCACCCCATTTAAAGTTCAGAGTGACTGGTTACCCCATAGCAAACTACAGACTGTGTAGCTTCAGCAGCAACCTTCTGGAACGTGTGCCAGAAAACAGGAGCAAGGGGTGCGAAATCAAACCCACAGTCCTCAGAGCGCTAGACAAATGAGTAAAAAACTTCATGAGGGAGACTCCCATCAGTTGTAATTGTTGAGTTCTTCTTCTTCTTCTGCGTTCATCCGAAGATGTAACTGCATTGTGCCCGTTGACAGCATGGCTGGGATATTTGCACCTTTTGGCCCACACATCTGACTTCTGCAGGCATTTGTGGACAGGACTAGCTGTGGCACAGTCGTGCCTTGACATCCCCCAAGAAATAGATGTGCCTAGTTCGGCCAAGGATGAATGGATATAGTTCGTAGCTCTCTTCGATCGTACTCAAGAACAAGGCCAGTGATATAACAATTACACAAGAGCTGGTTTATTCACAATATTCTCGTCACACAGACTTCATAAATTCAATAAGCAATAGTATATGAACACTTCATTATCTTGTTACTGTCTGTTCTTATGTCTCTCTACGAGTTCCTTAATCACTGTTCTAGCTAAACTCCAAGTTTAACATATACCTTCTAAACGAAGTACAGCACTAGTTTTCTCAACTGGTCTCCCAAGCGGTCCGGTCCTAACTGTCTTCTCAAGCCCCTGGCTCTGACTTTACTCCCCGCTTTCCCGCTCTTTCTGGCGTTCCTTCTCAATCACTCCCCTGTCACCTGTCTTTGGTGGTCACGTTTGGATGAACGTATCTCTTCAGCGGGTCACAGTGCATCTGCTTGCTCACGGGTACTCGTCGAATGTTTTATCCTTCACTGTCAGATGTCATGGCGGTTATCGTGCAGATGTTCTGTATAGCTGGCCAGGCCAGCTTTCAAATCACTGTATTCTGTCATGCCAACGAGTGAGGGATAGTCGTGTTTTTAAGCTCCTCTGAAACGTATGCTTTATTCGTTTAACCCCTTTCTGCCTATATTTCATTACATAGCCTTCCCGGGATATGTTTACTTGATAAGGAGTAAGTAAAGTAAAGATCCCTTTTCACGCCTTTAGGTGCATCGGGCATATGGAAAGAGCACCCATATTTGTACAGACCAGGACATACATACTCGTACCCATTTTAGGCTGGGTGGACCTGTAACGCCCCATACCATGATAAAAATCTGTGCAGCCAGCAGTAGGTTTTGATCGCAGTACGTTGGAACTAGGAGTCGGACTCGCAACGCCTAAGCCACAGACGCTGCATGTTGAGTTGAAAACTGACATCAAATCACCAGGGCATTACCATAAATACTCTGTCCTCAACTTCAACAACCAGCACAGAATTCTCATTCCGGTGGTACTTGTATCAGTCTGACAGATTGTTATTGTGTAATAATCACTTTTATAGAAAGATTCATTATTATGATGATGACTGAATATGTTTAAAAAAAAAAAAGATAAAGGTCCCCTTTCGGCGCCCTTCTATATTTTTATAGACCAGTCGGCACAAGATGAGTAATGTGGTCAGCATTGTGCCGGCAGCCTTTTACTTCCTGGGACTGCACCTGGTACCCACTCAAGGCTGAATCAATCTAGGAGCTAAGGTCATTGACTGAATATGAAATTGTATAAAATTAATTGATCTTGTTGTTTTTGTATGTGTATAATTTTCTAATCATATGTGTATGTTTATAATTTTCTAATCATATGTGTATGTGTATAATTTTCTAATCATATGTGTCTGTGTTAAATTTTCTAATTATATATGTATGTGTATAATTTTCTAATCATCACTAGTTTACAAAGCCTGCGTTGAGAGGGAGCATGCATCACTCATCCAGCAGATTGAGGACCTTCGCCTGTTGCAGCAGTGGAGTGATGTGCAACTGTTGTCGGAGAAGAAAAACATTGCAGAAAGAGAGGTATGTGTTTTGCAAAAGTTTCTGATAAAATATTTAGCTTGATGTTTGGGAACTTTGTCATAACGAGCCATTTGATAGGTGCCTGTGCTGTCGGCATCTGTGGATTAGGCGTTGTAAACGCACTTCATAATGCCAGGGTACCGGGTTCGATCCCAGCAGCGAACGGTTTGTCTTGTGTTGGTTTTAATAGTGGTACTGATACCTGACCGTTTAGAAAGCAATAGCAAACTACTGAACATAAAATTTGCCTAGAAAAAACACAACAGCCAATAAAATTCTGGGGTTGGTTCTGCAACATCCTGTAAAGGATACGCAACTAACTTTTTTTAACGATGCTGATGAATTTACTATGAATTTGTTTGGAGCAGCTTTGAGGTGTATTCATTAGCTGAAATTGTATAAACAGATTCTCTGAATACCATGGACCAATAATAAAAAAGAAAAGTATTGATTTGATCAATGTTCTCAACATCGGGTAAATTTCTTATCAGGGCTTCTTTCTATGCCTTGTAGCATATTGGACGTATGTGCTCTACCCCCTTCTTCAATAGCCAGTGAGGAATCCCACACTGATGGTGCCTCTTACAATAGTCTAGTGCAGTGTTTCCCAAACTTTTATTAGTCACGGCTCCTTTTTTTAATTATCATTTTTCCACGGCGCCCTAACCTAAGTAAGAGTATGACTATTCGTATGTGAGAGATTTAAAAAAAAAATAAAACTTGTGTATCTTCGGGTATTTGACGGTGCCCCTGTGAAGAGGTCGTGGCTTCCCGGGGCACCGCGGTGCACAGTTTGGGATCACTGGTCTAGTGTCGTAATAGAGCTGTGAGTTGTAACACAAGACTAATTTTATTTGTTATTAGCCTCTCTTGCTCAAGCCTACCTCACCTTCGCGTGGGGGACCCTGTTTTTCCCAGCAAACCAGTGGAAGATTTGGGTCTCATCCCTCAGCAGGAAATTGTAAGGGATAACAAACGAGGCAAAGGGATCAACCCACTCTCCCTCTCAAGGGACCCTGAAGTTGGAAATACTGGGCCAGAAGGTAGATCAAAAACCACAGTACTACGTAACCGCTCGCTACATATGATGAAGTTGCCTGTCTTTTTCTCTGCACAATGAAGACCATTTGTGCTGAATCCATCTTTTGAAGTATGGATAATTTATTCCACTGCACTATTAATTTAATCCCAGAGAGAATTTATCACATCTGTTTTATCATAAAGAGGAGCAGCTAATCACTTTATCTTATCAGCCTGCTCATTACCCTGCACACCAGAAGATCATCATCATCATAAACCACTTCTGCAGGTAAGCGTCGTGGGGAGGAATAATTTGCGATCCAGTGCACGTTGGCTGCCACTGGCTATTGTCATGCCGTGAAGGTGAAGATGTGTTGTGTTATTTCAATGTGGCTAGTCAGCCATAATGTGTCCACAGCATAACATTTTATACACATACAATTTGTGGATAAAGTAACAACAATTCTTATAAAACACACAACATTTTATAATATGCATAAGATAACAATTTGTCTAAAACATGACATTTTATAACGTGGACAAGATAACAATACTTTGTCCAAAACACATAACATTTTATAACATGCATAAGATAACAACAATTTGTCCAAAGCACGTAACATGTATAATTTGGATAAAGTAACAACAATTTTTCAAAAACACACATTTTATAACATGGATAAGATAACAACAATTTGTCCAAAACATTTAACATTTTATAGCATGGATAAGATGAATTTTTTTTTTATTTATTTGTCTTTTTTACTTGTGAAGTGGATAGAATAACCAAAATATATCCAAAACACATAAAATTGTATAACATGGACAGGTCACAACAGTTTGACCAAATAATAAAACATTTATAACAGGTATAATAAGGTAGTGAGGTAAATTAAAATGTTTGCAAAATACAAAACATTTCTGTAACATGGATAAAGTAAGAACAGTTTGTCCATAGAAAATATTTTATAACATGGATAAAGTAAGAACAGTTTGTCCATAGAAAATATTTTATAACATGGATAAAGTAAGAACAGTTTGTCCATAGAAAATATTTTATAACATGGATAAAGTAAGAACAGTTTGTCCATAGAAAATATTTTATAACATGGATAAGATAACAAATTATCCAAATCATGTAACATGGATATATTTAGAAAAAAAAATTGTCCAAAACAGCAGAACATGTTATAACAGGGATAAGGTAGCAATAATTTTCCCCAGCATGACATTTTATAATACTGGCTAACTGAAAACAACACTGTCATCATTTAATTAATTTTTTTTCCCCAGCTTGCGATTCTGAAAAGTCGGGTACCAGAACTGAAGTACTAGGGTCAGCAGATGTGGCTGTGGGCAGATAACTCTGTTACCTTTCATTTTTGTTTTATCATATTTTGTTTTATTGTTTTAACCTGCATTTTATATACTGCATATTGTTTCCATTTTTTTTTGCTTACCTGCACTGTCACTTTGTTAAGGATGTAAAGATTATTTTTTTTTGGGGGGGGTGAGGGGGTGGGGTAATTACCCAGAAACCATGAGTTGTTAACCCTCTTGCTTCGGTACTATGGATGTCGCAACCCTTCTGCCTTGATTCCATGATATGCAGTGGAACCTCGCTTAACAAGCATAATTCGTTCCAGAATCATACTTGTTAAGTGAAACACTCGTTATGCGAAACAATTTTTCTCATATAAACTAATGTAAAATGCGATAATGCGTTCCATGTCAAAAAAAAAATTAAAAAAATGCTATGTTTAACATTTATTCAAAGAAAATTATATACATATTGTTAAGGAGAGTGAATCATCTTCATCTTTTCTTCAAACGCGGAACGAACCCACCTGGAATGCGAATTCGATTTGCCAAAAAAAAAAAAAGTTGAAATAATTATGACACATAGCTAATTATTTTTTTACTTGAAAGATGCCCAGAGACATTTGTTTTTGCCGACGCTTCAACATTTAGCGAAAATGCGACACAGCATTATCAGTAAATAAATTTGCAACGCGCATAGCCACTTCATTATTAGGATGATGCTTCTCAGTATAAGATGCAACAGTTTACCACGCTTTCAGCATTTCTCTTATTTTGCCTGAAGATTGTTGCTTTTCTGTTTCCTCCTCCTCTGACAAACTTTCCTCCCAAACTTCTTGCTGTGAAACACAATGCAGCTCCATAAGCTCTTCGGTGGTCAGATCTTGGCTGTGCTCTTCCACAAGCTCTTCGATATCACTGTTATCCATCTACAATCCCATGACAGTGGCCAAAGACACAATCTCGTTGATTAGAGGTTTCAGATGTACTGTCTCGAACCCTCAAAGTCACAAATCGACAACGCTCTCTGACCAAAGCTTCTTCCAAGCAAAAGTTTGGGTTCTCTTGGCAACCCCTTCCCCCGCCTTGTCGATCATCTTGAGGCAGGCAACGATGTGGAAGTGATTTTTCCAAAACTCTTTAAGAGTGAGGTTGGTCCTTTCAGTCACCCAAAAATAATGCTCGAAGAGTGCTTTAGTGTAAAGCTTCTTAAAGTTAGAAATAACTTGCTGGTCTATGGGCTGGAGTAACGAAGTGGTGTTGGGAGGCAGAAACTGGATCTTGATGAACTTAAATTCTTCAAAGAGGTCATCTTGTAGGCCTGGAGGATTCATGTACGTATATCACAAAAAAACACAAGTTTGAGCAAATGTGTGATCACAAGCGACACTACGATGCTACTGGAACGAGTGCTAAACACAGACTGATGTAACATGCGCACAATGCGGGACCCTCTCCTCGCCACTCGTTATGCGAAATGTCGCTCGTTAAGCAAGTCATTTTTTTACAATTTTTTTTGCTCGTAATGCGAATTACTCGTTATGAGAGGTGCTCGTTAAGCGAGGTTCTACTGCATACCGTAAATCTGAGAGAAATGTGGCATTTCTGCCTACCACTGGGCGTGAACTCGGACCACAAGGAGTTCATCAACCGATCGCCACGCATTCAGGTTTAACCTACTACGCTAGCGAGCTGAGCAAATAAAGAGTGTTAAGCATGTGACATTATGGTGCAGACAAACACTGGGATGTCATAATGACAGTTTAAAGATGGCTGCCCAACTTTTGACATGCACCAGAGAGGAGCAGCATTCTGTTCTCTGTTTTTTTTATCAGTGAAGGAGTGAAAACTATGGAAAGTTCATCAGTGAATGAAGGTCCAGTTTGATGCTGCGTGCCAGTCAGTCCAGCAAGTGTGTGAGTGGAGCAGCCCTTTTGTAATATTCTGAGACAGGTCCGGGGAAACACTGCTGAGATAAACCCCTGAACATCACAGCAGTAAGTAGTTATGCTACTTTTGTACCAAACCCCTGAACATCACAGCAGTAAGTAGTTATGCTACTTTTGTATACTAAACAAATAATCCTGCCACTAAAATGGATTGAACTGGGACCACTCTCATTCTGGGCAAGGGCACTAATAACTGAAATAATGGCACCAATGGGTTTAAAAAAAATTATCTTACATTGACACATTCAACTGTAAGCATTTAAAAAAAATGTTTTTCTCTGCTTGATTTGTCTTCCCATATTTTTTCTTAATAGTTTTTTTTCCCCTGTCTATCTTTTGAGTTGTTCTGTGTGTGTGTGTGTGTTTTTTTTTTTTTTGGAAGAGGGGGGGGAAGCGTCTTACCATGTTTTCGGCAGGTTATGTTTTCTTTATTTCTACAGGGTTTGTATTCATATATTTTTTGCTTGCTGCGTCTTCCCGTTTTCTACAGGGTTTGTCTTCATATCAGTTCTGTTGAAAATGCCTTCCCATGTTTTCTGTTAGATTTAACTTCTGATATTTGTTGCTAGATTTGTCTTCCCATGGTCTCTGCTATGTTTGTCTTCCTATGTTATCTGCTTGATGTGTCTTCCTATGTGTTTTCTTTGGTTTGTCTATTTTATTTTAAAGTTATTATTTGCTGTTAATGTTTCAGGGTCAGATATTTATATTTGTTTGTTTTTTCCAAAGTATATTAAATGTTATGCATGGTTGGCAATGTGATTTTTTTAAACATAATCAAATCAAAAATATAATTTACATACATTTTATAAAAAATATTTATTTTTACTGAGGAAATATCCAAGCACTTCTGAAGGGAATAGGCTAATGTGTAGTAGGGATTTTTGCATAGTGGCTAGATACTTGCCTAGCCCAAATGTCAAAATTAACATGGCTGGCCCTTGGACCCAGGCAAAAATAGTTACCAAGTAATGTCCTTAGAAGGGATTAGTGTGAACTATCATCACAGCACTCCGGACGGATCCATTGGTGTTTCGATCTCCTCAGTAACTCCACAAGAGTAAAATGACTGATCACGCCCCTTCTGTGTTGATGCCTTGTGCCGTTGATGAAATGTCTATGTCTGGCTGCTTTATGTTGGTTCCATAACAAGGATACAGAGAACTCTGAAGTAAATGCAGCTAGTGTGATAGTGACTGCATTGCCCACTGAGTGCTGATTGATAAGGTTAGTTGTATATCCATTACAGGACGTTGCAGAACCAACCCCAACAGCCCCTGGCTGTTGTGTGGTTTTTCTAGGCAAATTTACGTCCAGTAGTTTGCCATTGCTTTCTGGACAGTCGGCTTCTTTGATACAGCTGTCGAAACCAACGCAAGGCGCAAGGCCCGCAGCTGGGATCGAACCCGGCATCCCGGCATTACCAAGCGTTCGCATCGACTAAGCCACAGAGCCGACATGATGATTGATACTATAAACATATTAACCTAGCATGATATGCCAAATGCACCATGTGAAAAAGGTACTTTACTTGCTTAAATATGGGCTAGACACGCGCCTGATGAAGTCATGAGCTTGAGTCCCGACTGAGCAGGGGTATTTTATAGAAAATGACTGTGGCCTGCAGGTCGACCCAGCCTTAAATGGGTACCAGGTAAAGTCATGGGAAGTAAAGGTGGCCGGCATGATGTTGACCACATCACCCACTGAGTGCTGATTGGGTTTATACAATATTGGTCTAACCCAGTTTGCCTCAAGGCTTGGTGAAGGATCTTTTACTTTACATTTATTTGCTTATTTAGTAAAACCAGTTTGCTGTGGAGCAGGCGCAGATGGAATAAAGATGTCCACATGTAGGTATGTTGACCATTCACTTCCTCTGCAAACCTTGAAATTGAGGGTTTAGGTCTTCTCCTTCTTCTTCGCGTTCACCAGCTATAAACTCCGGTGGAAAATTCTGGTTGTTTGTCCACTTCTGGACTGCATCTGTTTTTACAGATCTGACTCATTTGCATGCAGACTGCTGGTTTCTTGCCTCTCAGACAGATGCACTCCGACTTTGAAGGAAGCTCCCAATTAGTCCACTCTTACGACAAGTGGGTATAGGTCATGAGCTGTGCTTTTATTATGCAGGCTTTGCAATTACTGATCCTGTCAAACTCTTAATATGTCTTCTTCTTTTTTCAGTTCATGCATAATATATTCATCATTTTCTTTCAATATATGCATTATAATGTTCACGAATAGCTGTACTTATATACAGCTGTTCACCTACTGCAGAGGGGATATTGTCATTTGTTTTGACAACTGAAAATATTTTTGGAAAGAGAAATAGAGGAAGACATCAGTATAAAATATTTTTTCTTATAGTGTGTAACAATGACATCACAGGAACTGATACATGCTTTTATGGATAACAATATGGGAAGAAGTATAACACTAGTGCCAGTCGGCACGAGGATGATTATATGAATTATAATGTTTGTGTTTAAAGGAAATGTTACTTCTCATACTGACAGTAGGTCATTGCTGTCACATGTGATTCATTATTTCTACTGTGTTGAAGTTTGTTGTGTGAACAATGCCCACACAGATTTATATGTGACTGCATGTTATAAATACAACAGATTACCATACAGATTTATATTTGACTGCATGTTATAAATACAACAGATTACCATATAGATTTATATATGTCTATACACATTATAAGTACAGCAGATTCTGATACAAATTTATGTGACTAAACAATTTTTTTCATATTGATCTATCTAAAGATTTGCAGCATTTTGACCATTATATATATTGAAAAAATAGTGGTCTGAACTTTCAGAGTCTATATCATGTTATTTTTGTGTATGTGAATTGTCTTTAAATATACTGACATTGAAAACGATGTATTTGGCGCTAATTTTAGTGAATCTGTAAAATGCAGGGGATAACAAGAAAACGGGTGCTGCGTTAGCGCAGTTGATAAGAAGCTCGCTTTCAAATCCAGTTGCGACTCGCTGCAGCCCACTGTTGGTGTTCGAAATTGGGCGGCTCCCGGGTTCACCCAACCACTAG